GTGATGCTCTTAAGGAAAAGCAGCAGGTCTCTCTCCCCCTCTCTTCCCACGGCTGCACTCTCTGTCACCCAGAGAATCATTAGGTCATCAGTGAGACACATGGATTAAAAATAGAAGCTTTGTCTTTATAAACACAACAGAGGGCATCCATTATGTATAAAGACTCTTCTTCATAAGTGATACATTATGTGTTTACGTGTGTGTGTGTGTGTGTGTGTGTGTGTGTGTGTGTGTGTGTGTGTGTGTGTGTGTGTGTGTGTGTGTGTGTGTGTGTGTGTGTGTGTGTGTGTGTGTGTGTGTGTGTGTGTGTGTGTGTGTGTGTGTGTGTGTGTGTGTGTGTGTGTGTGTGTGTGTGTGTGTGTGTGTGCGAGCGTGCGTGCGTGCGTACGCATTAACAGAGTTTTTCTCATCCTCCTCAGTGCAGTTAAATTCCTATGCACTCACCTATGACCGACACTTAGCAGGCCTCATTGAGGTTCTGTTTACTATGTGTGGGGGAGTGACTGTGCTGGCATTTTTGTATGTGCGTTTGTCTGGTGTTGCAGAGGTGGGGGATATAAGTGTGTACTTCTCACCCAGTCGTTTAGCCATCGCCCCAAGGGCCTGGCTGTGACAGTGGAGGTCACACTCTGTCAGGACAGCTGCCATCAGTGCCAGGATGGCTCCAAGAGAGTTGCTCTCCTGGCCCCCATGGCTCCAGGGGCCCCCTGTTTCCTGGACAGAGCGCATGCAGCGCTGCAGCTGAACGAGACGCTCTTTCACACCTCCAGTCTGCAAAGACAGCGCTCAAAGCTACTACTTCAGAAGACCCCCTCTTGTTCGATAAGTCGCAAGATGCTGTCTATTTGGTGTTAAAAGACTACATTTTTCAGGCTACCTGATTCATTTTCCAAGACTTTATGAGCACATCTCTTTTAAACACATGATCTTGCAATATCTGTCAGTTGCATCTAATTGACTTGACAAAATGAAAATGAATGCTGTGAAATAATGCTGTGTTTTTAAATTTGAGAAATTAGGCTGTTGATTTGCATAAACATGCCTCCTTCAGTTTAGAAAATGACACGTGAAAGGCTAATCCGCAATCAAAACGCACCGCTCACTGGCATGTTTTGTGTCACACTCTATCTGTCTCTTACACTTACATCGGGTCATTGTAGAACACACACCTGTTGCTGCATGAGCTCAGCACAACCATATGATGAGGACATTTTTAAAGCAGATCTAATTGTATCTCCTTTGATTGCTGACTGTCATTTCTCAATGGCTTTCAGGTTGTGCCAAGTTGAGTGTGTCGACTGTCCCGTGAGGAAGGACCTGCTGACCTGTGCCTGATAGTACACTGATCTCTCTCTCTGACACATGTGCATGAGCAGATGGGGGTCAGCTCTGCTTCACCATGTCTACCAATGTTTCTGAACAATCTCACTAAAGCTGCACATATATCATTTCTGATTTCATTGCAATGTCAACTTGCACTATAAACATATTACAAAGGACAGCATTATTAAACTCAGGGATTTATTTGAGTTAAACATTTAGTTGGTGCCTTGTGATCAATTCGAAGTCAATCTGTTCAATAAGAAATGTTGGAAATAATTACCTTTATTTTTTTTTGTTGAACAGCCACATTTGTTTTAGCAGTATGCTGAAAGCAGATGAAATGCAGAACTGAGTACACTTTATTATCTCTTCCCAAGCTAAAGCAATATTCAACAATGTTATCACATATTTTCTTCATACCGTGCAGCTACTGTACATCTCACTGTTACATTGCAAGTACTACATTTAGCATCAACTGGCTTTTCTTCAAATTTTTGACAAGATTTGTAAATATAAATCTGGACTGCCACCACGCTGTAAGTGATGTCACTCACCTTAGGCTGAACCTCCACCTTCCGAGGAACATCTGAGACGGCTGGTAGTGAAACCCCCATCTTGCAGGCTGTTGACCCAGTTTGACCCTCACAGGCCCCGCTACCTGCTCCTGTCCCGGGCTGGAGGGGAGCAGCCACCAGCCTGTCCCTGCAGGGAGGGTGTGTGCAGGCTGGAGAAGCATCTGAGGACAGCAGGGCGCCCACATACAGCGACAGCAGAGGAAGCAAACTGAGAGAACTGAGTAAAATCATGTCAAAGTGCAGAGATGCAGGCTCGTCCTGACCTCTGTTTCAAATTGTTGAACAGGGGTCCACTTTTTCCAGCAGGGGATAATCCTTTTTTCTCTCAGCTGTAGGTTGTTTGTCCTTTTGGAGTTGTTGATTCTCATACAACGTTCACTTCTCTTTCCTTTGTATTTCAACAACTGTCCCTTCAGGTGCAAAGTGTTTGCTGACTTAACCTTTTTTATTGTTGTCCCCGTCTGTCTCGTTTTCTATACTCTTTGTGCTTCATTCATCCTCATCTTCTCCTTTTTTGTATTCTCTCAGTTCATCTCACTCTGGGTCCTCCTCTTTCTCCTGCTCTCTGTCTGTTAGTGAGGTTGCTTTGGCTCAGATTCCTAGATAACTGCGGCACTCTTTGCTGTCTGACATGGACTAATGCACCCACCCCCTGATACATACACACACACACTCACACATACACACACACAATCTGTCCATCTCCTTAACTCATCTCATGCTCTCTCTCAGACTCCCACACAGCCACACACAGAGGTGAATGTTTACACACTCACACAAATGCTGTGTTACAATATGCAAATATAAAACCAGTATTTCACAGATATATTCACTTTTTTTAAATCTGTGGGTGAGCTCTTTACCTGCCTTTGCGATCATATCTGTCTCACAAAAGTTTCTTCTTCTGGAGGACCATGTGTATGCAGCAATGTTTGTAGAAATGAAAAGGCAGCAGATGCTTAAAGTATGTTGCTCCCTTCCTCCTGTGCACCATTTTCTTACTTGTGTCCTTTTGTGTCGCAGTATTTGTGTTTACAAACGGAGTTCCAAAGAGGCCATAAAGACTCTACATTCAATAGGAACGAGAAGACAGGAATTCCTCTATAAACACCAGTCATCAGGATTCTGGAGAGGCACACTCCCACTAACAAGGAGCACAAACACACATGTAGACACACTGACACATGAACATGGATCTCAGAAGGACTTCTCTGTTCATTGAGAAAAACGTAATTCTTATATGGAAAGCTGATCGTTCTGATGAGCCAAAGGCAGCTCAGTGTTCTTTTAAAAATATTGTCTAAATTTAATTTAAATGCAGATCATAAAGAAGACCCAAGGAGAGTATTTGGAATTACTGTTGTTTCAATTGAATATATAACCAATGCAACACCTACAATTATGATAAACAATAAGATCTCTACAGAGGCTGCAATTCTGAACTTCTTAAAATGATAATGGATTGATCTACAGAAAAACTGTTTTCAGCCAAAGTGATTTATTCTGACTTTTCCATTTGTTAAAAAAAGTACCCTTAAAAGGATATCAACATATCTGTGAACGTTTATGACATAATATCACACAAAAGATAGTAAGGACACGTTCATCCATAAATAATGCAACAGGAATACAGATTCAAAATGTGACTATTGTAAATTAATTCAGATCCATTTAATTCTACTAATGTGTATGGCTGAGAATAAATGTTTTTTTTGGTAAATGCAATGAATGTAGTGATTGACAGATCAATCAGATAGTGCAGCATTTTTGACAAAAAAAACAACCTTGTTTCAGATTTTATGAGGAAGGTTCTATTATTGAAACATAATGTTATTCACTCCCAATATCCAGAAATCGGATTATTCTGTCTGTGGTACTTGTAAATTTGCAGCGAATTTTTAACTATATCATATACAGTACACGTTATAGGCTATTCTGTTATCAATGTAAAATGATGTACATTGTTTTGTCATGTCTTTTAAGTATAAATACAATTATTTTTTTCCTTAGACAGGTGAACTGATGTTTATGACATCTTTCAGTAGTGTTGTTATGGTTTGTAAATACATTTTTGCATACAGGCTGGAAAGCATCGTGCTTTCAAGTTTTTTAAGTGAAAAAGATACTCTCCTGTGTATCACTTTACTATCTTTGTCTTAAACACTGTTCAACACACTGTCAACACCACAGTGTGCTACATAGCTTTACGGAGGTCCAAAACATAAATGTGAGTTTATGTCTGGGAACCCCCCCCCCCCAGTTTAGAAGGGTCATTCTTTCAAAGTGGGTTGACACTGTCCTCTAGTGGTGGATCATCAGTGCTCTCCCTTTGGCTGTGATTCACTACAACTACATTTAAACACACTAAACCATCATTTATAGTAACTTAGGTTTCTAAGGTTTAGAATGAACATCATGTTTTAACAGGAGGGTGCACTCCGCTGGATTTTGAGTTCAGTTGCACGCAAATATCATGTGTGTTAGAAAAATAACCCTGTTGATGTTGTAAGTTTGCCAGGAAGAGAGACCACATCTGCAATCCAAAGATGATGACCATATTCATATCTCCCCTCCATCAATACGATTAATATCCTTCTGAAGATATATTTTCTGTATCCTATTATGTAACATCAAGACATGCTTATTACAACTTGTTCTCTTATCTGAGTTAGTTATCTTACTGTTTTTTTGTTTGTAAATCTATGATGCTGAGCTCTTCATATATCATACACTTCTGCTCTCTTACTTGACAACTTCTGTGATTTATTTGTTCTCTTATGTAAAGCATTTTGGTCAATGGTTGTTTTTCAAATATGCTCTATGAATAAACTTGACTTTTCTATTATCGAAAATAATGTAACCAATTGCAATGGTTGCTATATACTCCAAATAGCGACATGGCAATACTTTCTTCAGAAGTAAAGCACAGGTATTATTCATAGACTGTATTTAAAGCGATTTAAAGGTATGAGTCTAAGATAAATAAGAGATGGTTGTTTGCAATCCGCCAAAAACCGAGAGAAGAAGAAGAAGAAATAAAGAGATGTCATAGGTGGGCTGGGAGTGTCAGTCAGCTGCGTTTGACGCAAAGGTGTGACGTAAGACGCAGGCGTTGTTTTGGAGAAGGAAGTGAAAGGGGAAGAGAGAAGCAGACAGTTAGCTCGCTGGTAGGCAAGCCTTTACGCAAAGTGCCACATTTACACACCAGTTGTAGATAACCTGCGTCGACAGTTTACTAAAGTTTGTGTTCACGTTAACGGCAACACATTGTTCTAAGAGTTTGAAACGAGGTATTGCCAAATCAGCCCTAGCTAACGAGTGCAGTGCCAGCGAGCGAGTGAGCTAGCTAACGTAACGCCTCGTTAGCCGCTACGCTAACTGAACAACAACAGCCCGTTAGCCCGTCCAGAAGTCTCCTCCTCGGTGAGTTACGAGTACAAAGTAAGTTTTTTAAATGACAGCTGTCTTTTGATATGCTTAATATTTGCTCACTCATCAATTCGTCCAGTGTCGTATTACCGCCAGCGCTACGACGTTAACAGCTAATTGTGGTGCAATGTTTTTCAAGAACCTGGTTGACAAAAACAAGGCCGGCCTCTGGCTCCTCTGGGTCGGGAAGGAGAACCCGAGAGCCGAGGTCGAACAAAGATGCGTAAAATATATGTCAAAGGTTGACAGCGGGAATATTGATTTCGCTTGATAGGCTACTTCATTTTGTATTTCATGTATACAGAGAAGCATGGGTTGCGATACACACTCCACATCTCTTATCCATCACTTTCTGTATGGTAATTTACCGTATGACGGGGAGGATTTTGATCACATGTATCGGTGTCAAGTGCCAGAGATTATATTGGTTTTATGTCAACAAGCTCTCTCATAGAGCATCATGAGTATCATGTGCTTACTTGGGTGACCTGCACTGTGTTTATCTGCGTCAAATTGTTTCTTTTCGATGATGACTCACATGTCACGCAGGTACACGTCCTGTAGTTTATTTGTTTAACCATGTTGTCAGTTGAATGATCTGATGTGGATACAACGCCCTTTACTTGTGCCCCAAAGCTTGCCAAGGTGACAGGTAACATAAATACATTTTAATATGTTGATTTCATATTCAAAGTTCAGTTGGTGACTCTTTCATCATACTGGTCTTCACACAACAGTAAGAGACATGTTACGTTGTGATTTTGTTTTGAATGAGTAGTCGTCGTCATTGACAACCGGCAACAATAATAGAGTTTTACATTTAACTACCGAAATGTTTGAATCCACTCTATTTCAACGCATCACATACACAACACGCCAAAGTGCTGTACATGAGATAAAATAACGTTACTGCAAACACATATCCAAGGAGTCGGCATGAATTGGTTGTAAAAGAAATACATATATAGTGGTTCAGCTCAACATATACTCATGTAGTCTTGTCATGGTTAAAATGCCTCACATTTATTTTCACAGTTAACATGTAGCATACATAGCTGTGTCTCATTGTAGGTTTCACAGAGTACTTTCCAGTTGGTTCTGCTGAGTACTTCAGTAGTGTTTATAGTTCAGTGTGTAGGCTCGTGGAAAGGAGTCTTTTTCTTCAAAACATTCCCATTTGATACAATCCTGAATTACAACACCATGGTGAAACATGTGTTGTGTAAACAACTACTTTTGAAAGCATTATTTAAAAAAAAAAGAAAATAAGTTGCACATGATATTGTATCCTACAAGCTTTTCTGATGTTTTGTTTATTGTATGTTCCTCCTATCAATATGGCTGATTTTGACCATGCTGTCTTTACTCATGTTGTTAACCCTGGGTCACCAAACCATCTGTTTATCACATGGGCACCAACCAAGATGCATGTTGGGTAGCTTACCAGGAAACATAAAGGTGGTCTAACTTTACGGCGTCTTTGAGCATTGAGAAACATCTGAAGCCGTCAGAATCTATTTTAAGTCCAGAGTTTGATGTGTCTGTGTGGGGGTGAGCATGCATAATCCATATGAGAGAGGACCTGTGCATTCCAGCTGCTTGTGACAGTGATTTACAGACATGGAAGGAAATCTGCTGGCAATTTAACTCAAAACACATGACAGCTGTGAACACACACTTCTCAATACAAGTCCATAAACAGTTCAATTTGTATATTAGCGTCTTGTGACGTGGACGGTTGCATCTATACTAAAAACTCATTAATGAAGATTTTGGTGAAACCACATTTTTATTTATTTATATATATTTGCCCAGCCATCTGTTTGATTCTTAAATAATGTAATTAGAGTGATAATGAACAATAGATGGATAAAACATTATAATATAGTTTGGTTGTGGCTAACTGAGAATTAATCAATTGTTGAACTCTCTGTTGGCACAATTATTTATATCTTTCTCATTTTTAGGGATCAGGTTATCAAGTTACGCATCAAATTCATATTAATAGACAGGAAATGAAATGCTACCTGACAGACAGAGGTGGATCAAATGAGAACAATTCTCAGGAGTCAGGCGTCTGCAACACTTCTCCAAGTGATCTGACCTTTGGAATATCTTAATGCAAATCCTTGTAATAAAAAGGTGTGCGTATTGTTTTGAGCATTAAACACTGACTTAAGTCTCTGTAACACATTGGCTACGCACAGCTGATCGACAGCTGGGACACAAACCACCAAATACAAAAACATAATTCAGATCCAGTCGTCATGACTCCACTCCAGAGGGATTCCCCGATCACTTCTTACAGTCTCTCATCAAGGGGGGGTCTCCTGTCCCCGGTACAAACACACTGCCTGAGGAAGGCTATGTGTATTGTTTTTGTCATTAACCTTTTTCGGGCCATTTATTTATTTATTTTGGTGACGATCCGACCTCCATGCTGCTACTCTGGTTCAAACTGCATCCACCAAACAATATGATTTATCTCCACCTCCCCAAAATAACCAAAATCTGACACGGTGTGAGATGTATTTTTTAGCTGTTCTGTCGTCATTTCCTGCGATCTTCTTCATAAAGTCAGTCTGAATGAAGGAATGGGCGTTTCTTTGACTATTTATAGGCAAATATGGGCGTTACGTGAAGCCCGCAAAAGCTGCACCGCATTTCGAGTCGATTGTGATTTATAAAGGGAAACCGGCGTAGGAAGTGCCGTACGCACTTTCCTCGCCGGTACGCAATGTTTGGTGAATCGGAACATTTCTTTACCTATTTTTTGGATTTCTACTACGTAAGCAACCTTCCCACGTGAATCCTACGCACGGCGTTATAAATGAGGCCCCAGAGCTGAGTTTTTTTGTGATCATGTGACTTTGGTCTGAGCATGCCTAGCACTCGTTGTTGTTGTTCATGTTTCGGTCATCTACTCAGTCTCTAGCATGCTGCTCTCCTTCACATATAGTGCTGCTTCACATGAAGTGCATAATATACGGCGCTGCTTCACAGGGTGGCAGTCAGTGGGTGCTGTTTTGTTCCTTTCAGAAAGAATGCAGGCGTGTTTGTTCCAGGACCTGACAAGAACTGATGTGTAAGGGTGTTTTAAGGCTTAGTTTCAATTTCGGATCATATAAAGACTTTTATGATCTCGTGCACTCGCTGAACCTGCGTGGGTTGGCAGATAGGCTTTTCTAAATGCCTTTGATGATGTGCGTTTACTTTGTTAAGATTTGATGGGGTGCAGTCATTTTTTCTGTTAAACGGTTATAGTTCAATACCAAGTATATATTTTGTTGGTCTTTACTTTTATACATAGCACTTTATTAATTGATCCTAAGTCACAGTTAAAGCCATCTTCAGTGTTAAGAGGAAACGCTGAACGGCAGGCTACGTTATTCCCATTAGACGCCTCCTACTGCTTCTCACTGTCGGTATGCATACCTAAAGTAAACCGGCTTCTCGTCATGTGCTGGACTCTACTTGGCACACGAGACAAAAGTGTGAAATTGAACCTTAGTGTTTTTTAAGGCAAGGGCAGAGAAATGTACATTTGCATTTAAAGGCAATACAATCAAAGTTCTGACAAATAAAGAAAGATGATTCAATCTTTGAAGGTAGGGGGATTGGGCCTACTGTAGATGGAGACATGGCTAAATAATAAAAGTAGGAGGGGCTAAAGATGAGCCATGGTCATGTTTTCATAACTCAGACGTCCCATGATCAGGATTGACCTCTCAGCTCGTTTTATTTTCAGAGAACATCTGAAAGGTGACATTCTATAAAACGTCTAATTTCTCCTAACTGGCATTTCTATTGCAGCGTGAACTTCCTCTCTTGTGGTTGAGTGAATCCTCTCCCAGCTGCAATTTAGATGTGTTTTTATGAATCAGCTAGAGTCGTGTGGGGACAATATGTCATTTTCCTACTCGTATATGCGTTGGGCAATATCTTTGATATTACTTTAATTCTGATGAGATGGGAAGGAAATGATGAACTCCACTTCTTCTTACCAATGTTTGAAGAAATGAAACGGATTGCCTAATGGTGATGAATATATGTACATGAAACTATTGCATACCATATCTTTCGCTAACCGACGCAAATCAGTGCAACCTTATTGTTGCTTTTTCCAGAACTTCTGCAACATTTTCACACAGAAAGTACCAAAGCTGTGCCTTAGTCTCGCCTATTTCAGTTATTAAGTGACATAGTTTGTTCACTTTATAGCTTCATATATTATATTTTTTCAAGTGACGTTAACAAGTAGAAATGAACCCACAGATACCTTTTTAGATATACAGTTTGTCCCAAATCATTGTATACAATCCTGGTAATCTTACACAATCATCCTATATTATCAGTCAATGACACCGTCTGAGAGTGTACTGGAACAACATGTGCTGTGGGTTGCCATGCTTTAGACTTGTAGTGCGGAGAAGGAGTCTGTCCTCTAGGCGGAAACCTCCTGTCGTGTGAAACAGAAAGAATGATGTGATCCTCGTGATTTGTCCAACAGCTTAGAAAGCACATGACTGGAATGAATGCTATTCAAACATGATTGGTCCAGGGGCATAAAACTCAATACACAAGTTTGTAGGTTAATGTTTTCCAAAGGGGCCGCCTGCATAGTAACAGATTTACCTATGGGTTGATTTTATTCTCCCTGAACAAAAGAAAACGGGTGATTAGGTTGTGACTTGCAATGAAGACGTTAGGAAGGCATCGTATGGTCTTCCCTGTGTGCTAAACTCTGTGTGTCTTTCTGCAGCTGTGGGAACATGACGTCCAGGAAGAAAGTGCTCCTGAAAGTCATCATCCTGGGAGATTCTGGGTGAGTCACAGCACGTGATATTTCTCATGTCAGAACGAGCAATTCTTGGCATGAAATAAGTTAGGTCTACTTCCTTATTACTCTGCCATCAGCTTTCTCCAGGCAGAACTGCCCTACTGTGTTCAACCACACGTTGTTCTGCAAACATAATAAAGAATACATTGTAAATGAAAATACAATTGGATCAAATGACAGCCCGACATAAGATATCAGTCAATAGCCGCGTTCACACCAAGTACTTTGCCGTACTTAGTTCCCAGCACTTAGTTCCCCTATGGAACTAAGAGCCGATCGCGTTCACGCCGGAATAAGTTCCCTGAGGGAAGATTACGCAAATGAGCCACTGACGTCACTTCGTCTTCTTCTGCTTTGGGTTTACTGGCAGGCCGCAAACCACTTCACGGCGTATACTGCCACCCGAAGTCCCCGGCCGGAAGTCCCCGGAGTTGAGGAAGGCTTCAGTAAAAGCTGCTGGGACTCCCAGCAGCTTCTACTGAAGCCTTCAGAGTAAACGGCCAGAACGCCGACACCTCCTCATCTCCACCGCTCCCATGTTTTCTTTTGTGTTGCCATAAGTTAGTCTGTCTGCGTTTCTGCGCTGGGCTAATAATGCTAATGCGAGGATAATAAAATGGCGGCTCTACAAAACATTTCAGAGTTTTACGGGGCGTGGTTTGCAACTCGCCCAGCCAATCAGAACTGGGGCACTTTTTTCCCCCAGGAGAGTACCACCTGTCAGCAGGCACTAAAAATGGGGGTAAAAGTTCCCGCCACTAAGTACTCTTTTTGGTGTGAACGCGACATAAGGGGTACTAACGAAACTAAACGGGAAAAGTACTCCGGTGTGAACGCGCCTAATATCAGTTTATCATATATATCTGTTTTGTTTCCCTCTCAGTGTTGGAAAGACCTCCCTAATGAACCAGTATGTGAACAAGAAGTTTAGTAACCAGTACAAAGCTACAATAGGAGCAGACTTCCTGACCAAGGAGGTGATGGTGGACGACCGGCTCGTCACAATGCAGGTACAAATAGAGCTGGAGAGGTATCAGAATACCTTTATTAGTCCCACAGAGGGGACATTTACATTGTAACAGCAGGAAAGAGCCAGAGACAGCTTCATGTTACCTAAGTAGCATGCATTAAAAAATACAAAAAAAGGAAAATTATAATAATAAAAGTTACACAATTTACAAAAAACACATCCTGTAACAGTTCTGAGAATTTATAATGCACATTTATTAACAGCATATATATATATATATATATATATATATATATATATATATATGCAACACACTGACGCCATGGTGTGTGTCTAACGGAAGGGACCCAAGATGATATGTGCAATATATATATATATATATATATATTGCACATATCATCTTGGGGAATGCCTCCCTTCTGTTAGACACACACCATGGCGTCAGTGTGTTGCATTATTTCAATAGTTCATGTTTATAGCAGTTTTCTTATCTTCTGTAGTCCATGACTTTAACTGGTGTCTCTTTGTGTTGTGTAGATCTGGGACACAGCTGGCCAGGAGAGGTTCCAGTCTCTCGGCGTTGCTTTCTATCGCGGAGCGGACTGCTGTGTGCTGGTATTTGATGTGACTGCACCCAACACCTTCAAGACCCTCGACAGCTGGAGGGATGAGTTCCTGATCCAGGCCAGCCCGCGAGACCCCGAGAACTTCCCCTTTGTGGTTCTAGGCAACAAGATTGACCTGGAGAACAGACAGGTTGGTAAAGGGGGGGGTGGGGGACGCCTCTATTATGACCATCATTGCATAATCTTTATTTATTTTTTAAACCAAAGCCTCTTTTGAGGTTTTCGACGCTTATCATCACCCTAAAAAAGCTCCAACAAAATCATCAATTCCTCAGATTAAATAAGTTTGCATCTGTATTAAATCAACTTTTTTCAATAAGCATAATGCGTGCTTCCCTTTCTGTGCAGCAAGTGGGAGAGCAAACTGTTTATTTTGTTGAATGAAAAGACAAACATCAAAAACGCTGCGTAGCGTTCAAGTGTTGATTTAGAATTTGGATATTACTGTATTTATAGCTTTTACTTCTGACAAGCATGCTTAACCACAGTAAGGGGTACTGCTGTTAAAGTGCTTTTCTTCTGGTGCAGAATAAGTGAGGACTGAGACTAAAGTTGAAATCACATCATAAGCAAGTTCCTCAGTGCACACAAACTGCAGTAGGAGGCAGAGAGTGTGAAAACACAGGGTCACTCTACCTGGGCAAAGGTATTCATTTTATTAAAGTACAAGGCTCAAAGTAATGTAGGTTCATAAAGGTATTACATTAATGCAGATCAGCGTATGCTTCTCTCTGAGTATGGCGAAATGATAGCACATTATTACTGGTTGTTTAGATCACATGAAAACAAATCAAAAACAAAGATTCTCTGCACAATGTTGTTGTTTTTTTCAACCTATGATGATCTTAAGTTAACCCACTTCACTCAAAGAAGAATGATATGAAATTACATTTAGTTTAACATTTTTGTTTTTTTATATTGCTGTTCTGTTAGACATCAACAAACCCATCATTTTACATTCCAGCTCACTGTATTGATGAATCTTTTGTTGCTCTTCTCACACACAGGTAACCACCAAAAGGGCTCAGGCTTGGTGTCAGAGTAAGAACAACATCCCCTACTTTGAGACCAGCGCCAAAGAAGCCATAAATGTAGAACAGGCATTCCAGACAATTGCACGTAACGCCCTCAAACAAGTGAGTTCAAATGAAACACAAAAGACAGTAGAGATGTGTAATTTTCAACAATCATAGCTAAATCATTTAAAACCAAGTCTTTATTTGTTTGTCAGCTTGTTTTTCTCCTGTACTGATTCTTCCTCTCTTGCCGCCCTTCAGGAGACAGAGGTGGAGTTGTATAATGAATTCCCAGAGCCCATCAAACTGGACAGGAATGACAGAGCTAAAGCTTCAGCAGAAAGCTGCAGCTGCTAAGGGACAGCTTGGACCATCTCCTCTCTTGGCTTTCTGAAACCCCCCCTTCACCGTTCACATCACCCCCCCCACCCCCACCCCAAGGGAAAGGACTTCCCTACTGGTCTTCCTCCGTCACGCAACTGTTCATTCCATCAACACCACCCCTCACGCAGTACGCTGCACATGGATGTACCCCCCACCCTCCCTTAGCACACAAATCACACTAGCGCCAATAGCTGACAAATCCAGTGCCCTTAGATCACACAAGAGAATAACAACCTCAGTGATGTCCTGTCCCACCCACTTAATTCTAACTGGCCCCCGACTCTCACACGGAGATGGAGCCACGTTCAAAGAGTGCAATTGGGAACTCTAGCTGGACTGGCCGAAGCTCCGTCATGTGAGACGATGTTGGCTAACGTCAGCATCCCAAGTATCCTATTCTCTTCCTGTTTCTTCTTTGCTTTCTATTGCCTGTCTCTCAAAAACTAATCAAGTTGAACTACATATTATATATTGTAATTGGCTGATGTTACTTCTCAAGCCAATCCGAAACACAAACTTGGTTTTTTTTGCACTTTCTTTTTACGTTTTTGCCTTTAAATATTATAGAGGGATGACTGATTTTGGGCAACGTCTGTCACCACACGCCTTTTGGTGAGCTTCAAATTATACCTCTTCACTCGTTATCACTGTCCAATATAGCCCCTGAGAATCTGTCGAACACTTAGTGATTGTACTGCCTTTCCCCTTCGTGCTTGTGTGTCATTGGGTTCATAACTGCGTCACACAGCAGAAGAAATGTTCTAGACATAAAGTAAAAGCTGAAAATGCAGTCACATTGTAAAACATGGAGTAATTCCTCAATATATTATTTGCCTTTTATGTAACATTACTTGTACTGCTACTATTACTGCTGTATGTGTCATGTCCTTCATCAGACATCTCTCAACGCTTTGGAATTACAATCGTGTCACCAACACAGCATACACCCTTCTTCTGTCTTGTCTTTGTTATTGCTGTTCTCTCTATTTGCTTGTAGCTCAGGTTGGCTTAGTACTTAATATTTTTAACGGATTGTGCATTACAGTCATACAGTGTATAGATGGTAAAGGTAAATGCCTGATGGATTGAACTGAAATGGATGTTCTCTCTTCCATTTTAAGAAAATATCCAACATTTTGCCCTGGTATTATTCCTTCTCCTTATAGAAAAGAAATCTCTGCGATGCCAATGATGTTGTCAAAGAAAATTGGGACGTCAAATAATAAAACTCTTGAATATATCAATGGTCTAGCAATATGTGTCTCTATGTCTTTGTAATTTCTTACGGTGTTTCATGCATCCTTTTTTACCATTTGATTTATTTTTCTTGTATTACTTAAAACATAAGATGCGTGATTATTTAGGGCTGCTTGATTGACAGCTCCCTATCTTTCCTGTCAGTGTGGCGGTAAATTAACTCCTTGTTACGAATGTTCGATTTACTACATGATACTCAGTCAATTGTTTATTTTATAGTGAGTAGTACATTCTAATGTATCACCGGCACAGTACAGGTTGTTTTAATATCAAAAGGAAGTAAATCGGGCAGAAGTATTGCAGAGTTGTGTAGGCCTGCAGGGCCTTGAAGAACACAGCCATGAACACAATCTGTTGCGCCATTGTAGGAAAAGCACAAGTGTTACAAATAACATTAACAGTTAAATCGTAACAGTGAGCCAGCAAGCACACGTGACTTAACATGTATTTGTATTATTTGAAACTGCCGTTCCTACAGTGCAACACACTGTTCAAAGGCCTACAAACCTTTTCTGCAGCAGACCCTTTGAATTGTCATGGCAGGAAAAGCATTTGTAACATTCTAGCTGCTGAGCAGCTGTGAGTCAGGTCCAGTCATCCAAACCAAGAAGACAAACGAGAATTTGAAAAGTCTTGATATTATTATTTAACGGCTTCACATCATTTTAGGGATTATTGCATATTTGGTATTATCAATTAAATTCTGGCACACTACCAAACCCTGATACTTTAAAGACTACGGAGCCCCCTAGGGGACATGGAGAAGAAAAAACATATTATTTGAACAAATAAAATAAAAAATGTTTTGCGAGATCTCGCAAAACCCCTTTGCGAGATCTCGCAAAACCCCGTTGCAGTTTGTAGACGGTCCCTGCACTCCTCTCCCTCCTCAAGCGAGAAGGTCCTCGCCGCGGAATGGGGCGGGGTCGGATAAAAGGCGGGGTTGGATGTCCGACCCCGCCTTGTGAGTCCACATTACACATCAGTAGATGGCGGTAATGCGCCTGGAGCTGATAGTGAAGTTGCATACCTTTTCCAATATAAATGTATCCCCTTCTGTTTATAATCTTTTCTGGACTGAAATAACAACTGTCTTACAGGGCATCAAAGTGTTCTCGGCAAACAGCTATGTCGTTCACACTTGGTTTATACCAGGGTTGCCAACTTTGGGTACCTGGCTGAAGTGAGATTTTTATATCATGGGTTTAATTACACATATGCGCACGAAATGACTGCTATCGTGTCAGCAGCGGGACCTTAGCATATATATAGGATATATATACAATATATACAAATACACAATATTGGACACAGACTATAAAGGGCACAAAGTTTCATTCACTAATGAAAGTCAAACACATGTTTGTTTCCACTGTTTTATTGTGTGCATGATAAGCAATTAATTGATTTATCGTACGATAAATAAAAATGAACTTGATACATTTTCATTTACATGAGGATGTGACTAGCAGTTTGAAAGGATGTACTTGAATTATTATTATATATTATCATTATGTCAGTGGTCTAAAATGGTCATACAACGTTGCCGACAATATTATCGTTTATCGCAATAATTTCCGGGAAAATGTATCCAACAAAATTAATTATCGTGAGAGGCCTACATGAAACACACGCACACAAACAAATCTACAGACTTACTCAAAACTGCCAAACATATTAATTAACACACTCTCACTCTCATATACTCTTTGACTCTATTTGGGACTAGTAGAACAATAAGCAGCAGACTTGTACTTTTTTATCATTTCTACTGGATCTTAGACCTGCGCTTGCGCAATACCGGTCGGCAGTTGCGAGAGAGTAGGCTTGTTTGAGACAAGCAAGACCTGCGCAGACCTGCGCAGTTGCGATCGACGTCTTGCTAGTGCGTTGCATGATGGTTAGTCATTTTGTCCGACTTGCTCTGGAGGCCCGCCCACATGAGACTTTGAAATTTCGCGGGACAAAGACGCCCGCAGCCTTGAGAGCGAGGCGAGGTGAGTTGGCGCAGTTGCTCTCCACGGGCTGCAGAAGCGAAATGCTTGATGGGAAACGTCTCGCTGGTATCTCGAGCTGAGCGCTCATTGGTGGTTTTTACCACGTGCTGCTGATGAAACTCTCCAATTGGCTGGCAAAAGTTGTTGTTGTTTTGTGTCAGTTTTACGTCGCCACATCCATTCCCATTTTTCATCATTGTTCCACAATGTTTATCATCATGAAATTAATATCTATATATGTTATACTATACTTGCACTGCTTACCGTTTTCATACTTTATATATCTTAGCATATTCATACACACTGTTCATGCTGCTCACAGGCTGATATCTAGTGTATTCATACCCCTCACTGTTTATTCATCATTCAATTCATTTTTATTCTGTAGGTTGTGTACATTACTTTTCACTTTACTGCTTGTTGCACCTGGTTAGAAGCTAAACTGCATTTCGTTGTCTCAGTACCTGTAATATGTGCAATAACAATAAAGTTGAATCTAATCTTGAGCAGGAACAAATGCATTTACTTAGTACATATCTGACATTAACGAATATACACATTTGTGCATTCTTTATAAATGCAAACTTGTCAAGACCACTGACGGAAGTAGTTTTGAAAAGTAATAAGTGGTTCTGTCTTTTACATGTATTCAACCCCCCTTGTACTGATTTGTTTCAAAATGAACTGACACTTGAGTCATTCATTTGTAGTGATATAATAATTGTGGGATTTCTATTGCATCCTCTTCATCTGCAACGAAAAACGCCAACGCAATTTCCGCCATTGCAAACCCAGCCAGTCAAACCGACTCCGACTCCGAGCTGTCCGACTTAAGACGAGCTTTTTGACACCTCCCCGGCTGCGATCGGCTACTCTCGTCTACTTTCGAGGCGAGCCGCAATGTGTCTCAAACAAGCCTAGTATGTGTGTTGGGTAATCTATGGTAGGGCTAACCCATACAGTGGTGGGGCTCAAGTCAGTATTTGCATTGTAATTACATACACGCTCCCCTTGACAGTGAAACGCCACGCGTGAGGTTTAGATTATTTCCCTGTCTCAATCCAAATGGAACTGTATGAAATAAAAAGGCACATTTGTCTTGTAGTAAATAAAAAGGGCGACCTGGAGCCAATTCTGCAATTTCCCCACAAGTGAAATAGTTAACATGCTGAAATCCAACCCCTGCAGGGGGTCATGGGGGGATTCTCCCCCAGGAGATTTTTTGAAATACTAACATAAAATACACATTCTGGTACTCTCTTGAGAAGAGAAATGAATACATCTATTACTACACGACATATTTAACAAAAATGAATGCCATTTTAGTTTTTTGTTACTTTGTTCTGAAAGCTGAACCTGCTGCTCCTCACAGAGAGAAGAGGGAAGAGGATGTGTGAATGACTTTACATTGTGGATAAGGGTGTATAGCCCCCATTGTTCTGTGTGTCAAAAATAAAAGACAGCCCACACACCTATCAATCATCAAACCGTGGGGTCTTATTTCATTACGTGTTGATTTCTATCAACACGTAATGTTGTATCGACGTATAGAGATGTACTACAGCAAAAGTATTCTCCGTCGGGACTTCCTGCAACAACACCACGCCGTTATCTTGATTCTGATTGGCCAGAAGACATTATCAAAGATGTTCTATTGAGAAGACGATCACTACATGACAAAAGTTTTCAAAACCGTTTCTAGTCTTCGGTATTATTGTTTTTTGGCGTGAGAATAGTTTGGGCAGCGTGAGAGCGTGAGATTGACAGTGAAAGCGTGTGTCACACGCCAGATGCGTGAGAGTTGGCAACCCTGTTTATACCTATGTTGCAGAATCCTGAACAGCATCTCCCGGTAGGCCTACTTATGCGTATTATCATTATTATATTTTCTGGAATCATATGAGAATCACTGAATGTAAACTGTTCATTTTACCATCTCTCACAAGGATAAAGCAGACGATTTCCGGTGGATTCTGGTTCCTGTGTGGCGCCCAGGACATTGGACAATATGTGTCAGTGATATGAATTTACTTATCTGTATTTCAAACTAAACACAAAATATTACTAATTTCATTAATAAAGTATAACATCTTCTTATACTGTTATTTCAAAATTAAGATAAGTATTTCAGCTCAAATTTTATAATTGTGTGTTCTATTTGCTGTGGTAACTATTTTGTAGATAATGAAGCCACAAGAAAGGGAGATCTTTTTTTTAGATTCCCTAAATGGCACTGACTTCCGTGATGAAAGCCAAATGGAAACATTGAGGTTTTTAAGCACAGAAATGATGTTCAGTTTTAAGGTTCTCTTCTTATTTTATATTATTTTTGTCTATGGCTCTGTGTTCAGTTTTACATTTAAAAGATGACCTCAAGCATAAATTGACATGTTATTGAACAAAAGATTGGACTGAAACTGAGCATAAGACATTTAAAATGGCAATGTTCTGTTACCACCCATTTCTAAGCTTTCTTTTCTGTTTGTTTCCTTAAAATCAAGCTCTTGGCCAACCTGTTCGGCATTATTCCACTGTTGGTGGTTCTGCAGTTCTGCAGTGTTCAAAAGTTGGTGGTTCCACCAGTTTGACAATATTCAACCAGTTATATGTTCCAGTTTTCAATTTTCTTGAATGTCCTTGTCTAAACAGCTGTGTGTTATCCCCCATTAGACAAGTTGCTCTGCTTGTGTCACCTGGACCCTGGAGAGAATTCTGTGCAAACGACATTCAAGTTAGTAATTATGATGCACACTAATTGAGTTTGATTCCTGGATTCCTACACTGTGTGTGTGTGTATATAATGTATATAATCTCACCTTCTTCATGAAATAGGGCATACTAAGACAACGGGCCTCCAACAACTGTGGGGTGTTTGTGCTCATCTGATGAATTTATCAATCTTTTTTTTACAGTTTTGCAATTAGTGTGTAATGTTTTTTTTACTCTTGAACAGTATGCCCTCTACTTTGTGATGGAGTCAGCTTTTGATTTCAGTGAGGTAGGCCACAGAGATACACTTTTGATCAGTCCTTGTGGTGTTCCCTTTTCATTTTAATATGCATCTTTTTTTGCACAGTTGGACATGGAGCATTTAAGGAGATGGTGGTGCATGCTACTCATCGACAACTTCCCCGTGACGTAAGTATTCTTACCGTGACAAATGTTGTGCATGTGTCATCTTGAATCTTTTATTGTATTGTTTTTACGTCTTATGAGGGAAAAAAAAGAAGAAGAATGAGATTAAACAATAAACCAGTTATGTTTGTTAACAATTCCCATATCACTTGTTGTCATTGATAGATTTGAAGGCAGAAGATCAACCAAAAGACGACTGGAGAGGGAAGACTGCGAAGACAGTCCCAGGGTAAGTAATCATGATGACCCACCCAAAAGAAGTAAAGTCGTAAAGGAAATGGCATTCTGCAGCGACTTTGGATGGGTAGACTGTAATTTACTACTTAAAATCTCCATGGATGTGCTCCACAGCCATACAGTTTGTTGCTTCCACCTCTTATTCAAGGGGGCAATGTGTCATGATGTAAGTACAACTGTTTTACCATGCAGTAGTAATTCCTTTTATCTGGTGTCTTCCAGAAAAAGGACCCACTGGCAAAGACGGCTGCAGAAGAAATTCTTGTCAGCTCTGAAGAGGAGGATGGAGTACGTGATATGCTATCTGTTATACCTTACATGAAATTCACAGCACTTCCTTCTGTTCTTCTGCAGCGACTGGTAGAAAATGGCTGAAAATATTTTGTACCACTGATTTAGATAGTGTTGCATGTGCAAGTTTGTGTGCGTCATAATTACACATTCAAAGCATCTTGTTGCAAATCAGCAGCAGCACTATAAGAATAGTAAATGTACCGTGTAGTAGCAATGCATAAACTATTTCTCTTCTTCCTGTAGGAGAAGCACCCCTTTATAAGTAGTGCTATGGCGGCATCTCAGTGGTGCTCTGCAAAGAAAATGGGAGATAAAGTCATCCTGCCACAAATTCTTTCCATGGCCCCACTGGACAGAGAAGCAGCTCTCCATAACCTTGGTGAAGCCAGCAACCTGCGGGACGAAGACAGCTGGGAAGACAGGATGGACCCATTTATGTTCAGGTTCAAATTTGAGTCAGACTATTTAATGTTTTTTGAACAGTGCATTGATAAAGAAAACCTTAAGGTTCATGCCTGTTTTGAAGAGCGCGGTTTCACTTTCACTGTTGTATAGATTTATTTTTTATATACTTGGTTTGGTTTTTATATTTACTGTATTTGCTTTTTCGGTTCTGTTATCTTAATGATTGTTCTGTTATATGATAAATGTAGTAAATAATAAATGCTTTTTCTATCATTCTATGAAATGCATTGCAATGTATCATTTGAAATATATGGACTAGATATGAGTATGCACAGAACTGACTAAATGAATAATCAATTAAAACAAATATTAAATAATGAACTTAAATACACTAATATAGAAAATATGACTTTTTATACCACATTGCACATGTGGTATAAAAAGGTGTATTTAAATACATTCATGCATTTAATTAGAATGAAGTTTATATATTTAATTTTTAAATTATATTTAGTCGAGTGCAGATTTGTATTTGTACTTCTTGTAGTTGTCCAGCAGATGATGCTGTTTGTCTCATTAGGATATCCATACACCCCGCCCATCGGACGTCCAGCCCCGCCCACATCTGACCACGCCCCATTACACGTGCTGCAGTCAGGGCCTATACTATAGCCTCAAGCTGCAGATTGTGACCAATTCTTGATGTTTAGCTCGGATGACGGCGCGTATCGAACTGTTCTGATAAAAACGACTCTGTAGCTCGTTGTCTATCTTGCTATGATAATAAAGTCATGTTGTTTGTATTTTTACAACGTTATGTTCATAAGTTATTGATCCGCGAAATTCGAATCTGTCAATAACTCAGCTCAGAGGGACGTGCATGTCCCCTCGCTCTGAGTGTTCTCTTGAGGTGTCTTCACTTATGTGAAACCCTTTATATATACAGTCTATGTGTGAAACCTGTGCCTATTGCCAAGCACTGATGTTATATCTTTATATGTAAGCAGGGGCGGTTCTAGGGGGGCAGGGGGGGCCAGTGCCCCCCTAACACTGACCTCTGTGGCCCCCCTAACAATGAAAAGGTTTTTTTTTGTTGTTTTTTTAAATGTATATTTTCTGGTACTCGGTTTGCCAAAAACCGCAGGATTCTGTTGCTGTAATGTGAGATTGTGCAGACACCCTTATGTAAAGTAGAGCTGTAACTGTTCATTGCCTTTATTTTTATATAAATATGGTGTTAGTGCAAACATTGCACTATAACTTAAGCTGAAGCTAACAGTAATAACTATAAGATCTATCTGAAATAAATAAGTTTACTGAAACAAATACCAATAACTGTATTGCATTGTTTTCTTATGCGCAATTACTTCATACTGTCTAGTTCTCTTTTTCGTCCTTCATTTATTGTGCCCCCCTCAGAAAATAACTGGCCCCCCAGTGGCCCCCCCAGTCAAATTGGTCTAGAACCGCCACTGTGGAGAATCACAGAATGGACGATCATCCTTTTTATTATGCCGTTCAAGCCAATTATTTAAATGGATTTGTTAAATTCGGCATCATGTAAGTTGCACTGACAGGTCCACACACTGCTTCCCCGCAGCGTGGCTCCCCCCGCCCTCCTGTTGACAGTTCACGAGCGGCGAGCTCCTCACAACCCGAAAATTCTAGAATGTTGAATGACAATTCTAGAATGTTGAATACAAATTCTAGAATGTTGAATGACAATTCTAGAATGTTGAATACAAATTCTAGAATATAAAATGACAATTCTAGAATGTTGAATACGAATTCTAGAATGTTGAATGAAAATTCTAGAATGCTGAATACAAATTCTAGAATGTTGAATGACAATTCTAGAATGTTGAATACAAATTCTAGAATATAAAATGACAATTCTAGAATATTGAATACAAATTCTAGAATGTTGAATAGGAATTCTAGAATGTTGAATGAAAATTCTAGAATGTTGAATACAAATTCTGGAATATAAAATGACAATTCTAGAATGTTGAATACAAATTCTAGAATGTTGAATACAAATTCTAGAATGTTGAATGAAAATTCTAGAATGTTGAATACAAATTCTAGAATGTTGAATGACAATTCTAGAATGTTGAATACAAATTCTAGAATTTTAAATGACATTTCTAGAATGTTGAATATAAATTCTAGAATGTTGAATACAAATTCTAGAATATAAAATGACAATTCTAGAATGTTGAATACAAATTCTAGAATGTTGAATGACAATTCTAGAATGTTGAATGAAAATTCTAGAATGTTGAATACAAATTCTATAATGTTGAATACAAATTCTAGAATGTTGAATACGAATTCTAGAATGTTGAATATAAATTCTAGAATGTTGAATACAAATTCTAGAATATAAAATGACAATTCTAGAATGTTGAATAGAAATTCTAGAATGTTGAATACGAATTCTAGAATGTTGAATGAAAATTCTAGAATGTTGAATACAAATTCTGGAATATAAAATGACAATTCTAGAATGTTGAATACAAATTCTAGAATTTTAAATGACATTTCTAGAATGTTGAATGAAAATTCTAGAATGTTAAATGACAGTTCTAGAATGTTGAATACAGATTCTAGAATGTTGAATACAAATTCTAGAATGTTGAATGACAATTCTAGAATGTTGAATGAAAATTCTAGAATGTTGAATACAAATTCTGGAATATAAAATGACAATTCTAGAATGTTGAATAGAAATTCTAGAATTTTAAATGACAATTCTAGAATGTTGAATGAAAATTCTAGAATGTTGAATGACAATTCTAGAATGTTGAATACAAATTCTAGAATATAAAATGACAATTCTAGAATATTGAATACAAATTCTAGAATGTTGAATAGGAATTCTAGAATGTTGAATGACAATTCTAGAATGTTGAATACAAATTCTGGAATATAAAATGACAATTTTAGAATGTTGAATACAAATTCTAGAATGTTGAATGGAAATTCTAGAATGTTGAATACAAATTCTAGAATGTTGAATGACAATTCTAGAATGTTGAATACAAATTCTAGAATATAAAATGACAATTATAGAATGTTGAATACAAATTCTAGAATGTTGAATACGAATTCTAGAATGTTGAATGAAAATTCTAGAATGTTGAATACAAATTCTGGAATATAAAATGACAATTCTAGAATGTTGAATACAAATTCTAGAATTTTAAATGACATTTCTAGAATGTTAAATGACAGTTCTAGAATGTTGAATACAGATTCTAGAATGTTGAATACACATTTCAGAATGTTGAATGAAAATGTTAGAATGTTGAATACAAATTCTGGAATATAAAATGAAAATTCTAGAATGTTGAATACAAATTCTAGAATGTTGAATGACAATTCTAGAATGTTGAATACAAATTCTAGAATATAAAATGACAATTCTAGAATGTTGAATACAAATTCTAGAATGTTGAATACGAATTCTAGAATGTTGAATATAAATTCTAGAATGTTGAATACAAATTCTAGAATATAAAATGACAATTCTAGAATATTGAATACAAATTCTAGAATGTTGAATGAAAATTCTAGAATGTTGAATACAAATTCTAGAATATAAAATGACAATTCTAGAATGTTGAATACAAATTCTAGAATGTTGAATACGAATTCT